GGATTCGGAGCCGGGAACAAAAGAGCCTCGACTTAAACCACCTGCGTATTGCGTTACTTGTTGGAGTTAAGTTTCAGTACAGCTGGAAACTATCCTCGAGATGTGACCCATGTCACAGACAGACTTATAACGACTGTGTGGAACACGACCGCTATTAACAGCGTATGGGAGTGTGTGGTTCTGGCTTGTAGATAAACTGACGACAGAATTACTGAGATTCTGCACCATTACCGCTCAACTTATACAAGTCTGCCGTGAAGTCACTCACAGACATTCCCAAGGGACGATTCCGATTCACGTCCCAACAGCGACCGGTTTCGCTTCCTGGAATGTTATTCTGAGACTTTATGGAGCTGTTTTAAGGGAGAGCAAAAGAAAGCTATTTAGCCACAGATGTTTTTTTTCAGCTGGTTCAATCTCCCCACCACCTCCCCCCCCCCCAATCCCTCCAAAATAGTGAAAGAAACCTGATCCACTGGTTACATTTCCACCAAGTGTCGCCACAACAAAAGGCGTTCTGCTATCTGTTCAATTCACTTAGATCGGGGTGAGATACCGAAATCCGTGCACAGAAAGCTACATAAAGTTACAGAGTGATATGTAAATAATCAAATTTAGTCACTCAATCCACGACTGTTTGTGGGACGCTGCTGTGTGCAATTGGCTGCTGCATTTCGCCCACAAAATATACAGTCAATTCACTTTACAGTCTATTCTGAGACGTCTCGAAGACGTGATAAGGCGCTGTATCAAGTGCAAGGATTATTATTATAATTACTATTATGGTGGTACGGAGCACAGAGACAGGCAATTCAGCCCAACTGTCTATGCTGGTGTTTATACTCCTCACAAGCCTCCTATTCCCCTCTGTACCCTTCTCCCTTATTTACGCATCAAGTTCTCTCTTAAATACATGAATCCCTTTTTGCTTCAGCCTCAGCTTCAAGTAGTGAGTTGAGTGCATAAAATAAGAGATCAATTTCTCTTAAGCGGCTGTGCAGTTCAGAAGATATCTTGCCTCGCAATAGCCTGGTCATCATCGGGGGTGGCTGAGGAGCAGCGTGTCTGGTTGATACATTTCCTGGGTTTAATTTTACGACTGGAAATGGGGACGCTCCCTAAAAAGGAAGTTTAGGAATTTCCACCCTCGCCCAATGCGCGATGGTTTCCTAAACTCGACCCCGTATCGATTTACATTTCCAATCATTAGTGGCTAAGACTCCACTCCCTCTGTTTTCCTCCTCATTACTCGCTCCATCTGGCCACAGGCCAGCTGTGCGGACACACTGAGGGCTTGGCATACTTACTGTATTCCCCCGGAGAGCGTTAGATGAGAGACATTTCACCTGGGTCAAGACCTAGTTTCTCAGCATTCCAGAGAGTGCAAAATTTGGCAGATTCTTAAATGCACTCTTAATTTTGAAAACAAAAATGAATCTGCATCCTCTGATATTCTAAGAAAAATTGTGAACTTCTAGACCCAGGTGGAATTTCTATCCATTTGCCCCTCCTGTAGGATGATACTATTATAAAACAGAGGTTTGGGTCTGAGAAATTGGACTCTTTTCCCTCTCATTCCACCACCTTATAAATTAACGCAGAAACAGCCTCCCAATAAGGTTGGCTTAATCTTAAATTCTGAACTGTATAAAGTTCACCCTTGTCTGTTACTTGAATGCTCCTTAATCTGCAAAAGAGGGGGTCATCGATTAATTTCCTTTTATACCCCAGGTCTTACTTCTGCATCATATAAGGCAAACAGATAAGGGATTCTCTCCTCCACTTGACTACTTATTCTGCTCAACTTTGTAAAGACACAACACCTGAAAGAACACACACAGACACACCCAGCGATGTTTTAAGTGACCCCCTGGAGCAAGCTCCAGTCAAACCAGGTCTGCCCAGTCTCACACAGACCATCCATCAAACAAACAGCGAGACCTGGAGAGTGAGGCGAGGTTGTAAAGTGCGTCTGGAGGTTGCTGCAGCCACAAACTGTTTATACTTCGACAGTGGTCTCCGAGGGCAGTTAGAGGCCACCGATGACTTTTGTCTACATTTTTGGCTTAATCTCAAACACATTGAAACCACCGGCAACAGAGACTGGACAATTTCCTTCAGACTGGAGGTCTCTCCCTTGCTGACTTCTTTGAGGGGAGAATATGGATTCAATTACCACAAGTAATATTTGCCCTTGACATCACGCCTTGTCATCTCAACGCACTTCAGTCAATGAGTTACTTTAAAGTGTGGTGACTGTTTTGCAGGCAAAACAAATGGCGCAGCTAATCCGAGACCAACGTTGAGGTGCTATGTCAAATGCAGTGACCAAATTATTATTTTTTTTGGAGGGATTATTATCGGGTGTGTGGAGTAAGGAAACTTGCCCAAGGTTTTGTCCTGCCGGGAATCAAACCCAGGTCTCTCTCGCTTGCGAGGCGAGTGCTCTAACCACTGAGCTACAGGACTCCTGTACAAGATCTTTCTACTATATCAGGGCAGAGCAACATGAAAGAGTGGAGAGAAATGCACATGGTTAACACTCGTGGAAATCCACTTTTGTTCTCCGGGGAGGGGGCGGTTTACAATGGCCCTGCTTGTTTCACAATAGTATCTATTGTTTTTTTCTGGGGCAGTTGATATTTGCCCTGAGGTGATGCACTGAGCAAACACTTTAACTGACAAACCTGGTCACCTCACCCTGTAGAGGAATGCAGCGAGGATTGTGGATTGTGCCCCTTGGATCCTGCCCTGCTCTGTGCGTCCAGTGAATGCAACAATTAAAAGAACCTGTTAAGAGAGCGCTAAAGTAAATCCACACCAGCAATTGAAGTCCGTTAGGGGAGCTTCACAGTGTGAAGTGTGGCGGTAAGCACTGCTGGAGGATGAAAGTTAGCAGGTCCAAGAACTTGGGGGAAACGTCGGCATGGCTCTAGATTTGTTCAGTTTTTTTTAACTCTTCAAATTGAATTGGCATTTTTTTCAAATACTGCCTTAATGTCTGAAGTACGTTTCTTGAGATGTGTCTGCCTGCAAATACCCGTTCATTCATGGCACTTGCCACCAATAAACCTTCTGAGACATCTCGAAGACGTGATAAGATGCTATAGCAAATGCAAGGATTATTATTATTTTTATTATTACAATCTGTGAAGGTCAGTTGAATGTTTGGGATGTTTTGATGGTAAAGACATTGTGTCAAATGGAAGGATTCGATTATTTTGTACATTGAGAAATCCAAATGTTCCTGAGGCTGCAACTCGATGCATCTGGCGAGCGGAATTGTATTTCTTTGATAAGAAATCTTGCTAAGAAATACCACAAAATTGCTAACGATTCTGACATGGGAGTGAAACTACATGCAACCTATTCACTTATGGGTTCTTTTATTTTTTGCTCTTCATTTAGACAGGACAACTTATGCTAATAAACTGCTGAATAACATCTACTCAGTGCATTAGTGCATGAGACGTGTCTAATGTGAGGCCCCAAATATGCACTGTAGCAAGCGTACGTGCTTGTTCCATGGCACACAGTATGGTCAGCGAAATGGAATCTTGTACCTGATGTAAATAATTAATCAAAATTGCTCCATAAATAAAACTACGCCAGATTTTCCTAAGGACATTAACTCTTTAAAAGAGGGACGATTCGCTGAGCAGCTGCGAAAATACAATACAATTTACATTTATATTCAGAGCCTTTCCCGTCAGGAGGACGTTTCCAAGAGCTTGCTTATCATTGCTGGTCTGGGTAACCGAGCTGGTGGGCGGCGAGGAGGGGAGAGGTGACCGAAAGCGTGGTCCAATAGGTAGGTTTGGAGTGGGCTTCAATGAGGGGAGGGTGTCAGCAAGTTGGAGGACCTTCAGGATGGGGTTCCAGAGAGCGGGGGCAGAATGGTCAAAAGCCCAGCTGCCAATGGCGGAGGTATAAAAGGCAGGAGACATGAAGCAGGCCAGCAACACCCGAGAACCTTCTCAGTTAATGCCATCAGTCATAAACAAGACACTCATGAGTTAGTTGTACGATTTGATGATTAGGGAATATTTCACTGTTCCCTGAAGTATCCTCAAGAAAATTGTCTCCAGTGGGAAGCTCTCTAAACCAGTGGACGTGTATCAATGCAGTTCATTGTAACAGAACCTTCAGCAAAGTGTTTGGGGCTATTTTGGGGGCAAAGAATCTTCTGGGACCACCTCCTGAAATTGAAAAGCTTCTGGCGGTGATGTTCCAACAGAGAATAAGAGATTCTTTATTCAGTTAAAATACCACTTCGACCCAATAAGTTCATGTTGAAATGATGGTGAAACAAAGAGAGGTTTGAATGGGTTGCTTTGCACCGTAAAACACCGCTCCCATATTTCGTTGTAACTTATTATTTGGAGAAGCAAATTACATGTTCATAAAAGTGCTTTACTGAACCCCGTAACTTGACCAATTGACATCTTGTTGACAGGGTTTCCTCACAGACCAATTGAAGTTATTCAGCACAGAAATAGACCTACTTAAACGCCTGTTATTTAGAGAGTTCAGTTTCGGAAAAGGTGTCCTCAGTCCTATTCGGAAAACTGAAAAGTTTTTATGACGACGCTGAAACGGGAAGTTTTGTTTAAGATGTTCCTGTGAGAGAAAATGTCCACTGTTGACAATTGCTTAGCAGTGTGTAGTAACTACAACAACATCAACAATATCAACAACAATTTGCATTTGTATTGCACCCTTCACACAGGGTAGCGTCCCAGAGTGCTTAAAGAGCACTGTGTTGTGTATCAGACAGGGATTGTGTCGGCCAAGGAATTGGATGATACAGAATGTACACTTCTAAGTTACTTCTAAACGTTTTGAAATTCCCATTTCTGCTCCTAATTTGGATGGATTGCCACTCAATTCAGTCGATCAGTGTTTGAGTTGAATAACATCTACAGATTGTCCGAGCCAATAGATGCGTTGAGTCAATAAGATAGGAGAAGTAAATATACTGTACTTTTTTTGTCTTGTAGGTGCCTGCAGACCATGCAATGACACAGAAATCCTCATGGCAGTCTGCACTAGTGACTTCGGTAAGTCTTTGTTTTGTTATCACAATGATCAAAATAACAAAGTTGCAGTTGTAATAATCCTTGCATTTGATACAGCGCCTTATCACATTGTTGGGACGTCTCAAAGCGCTCCACAGAATATACTGTAAAATGTAGTGATTGTATATTTTGTGGGCAACCAATTGCGCACAGCAGTGTCCCACAAGTAATCGTGGATGGATTGAGTGACCACATTATTATTATTTATTTTGTTGAATGGATTATTAACCCCCATAAACCGATCCGCCAATCGACTTAACAGCCGGGTTCCTACTTACTGCAAGGCAAACAGAGGCGCACGTGTGGAACAAGGAAACTTTCGCCCTGCCCGGGAATTGAACCTGGGTCTGGGTCCTCTCACTTGTGGGGCGAGTGCTGTAACCACTGAGCTACAGGACTCCAGTTATTACTCCAGTTAATCTGTCCATTCCTATCACTACACCGAGGTCAATTGTGACCCTGGTACCTCTTGCACTCTAAAATCCTTTCCTTGCCACATCCTGGTGCTGACGGCCAAATTTATTAAGCAGACAATGCCTGGCAGTAGCCCCTTTGTTCTCGTTGGCACGGTCTCCACTAACTTTCATTTTCAAATATATCTAAGGAAAGAACTGGCACCATCGCTATCTAATGCCACATCACTGTCGACCACTTTTCGACGTCTTTCAGCCGAGTCAAACAGCTATTATACTGGAGCTGATACCGTAGTAGATACAAACAGTCAGACTCCCGCGGTGAGATTATTTTAGCTTTTCAATACAACATGGTTTAGTACTGCGATACCCCACAGAGACACAGTCACTCCACTTTACGCTGAATCTTATGAAGCTCTTTGAGGCGTCCTCCCAACTTGAAAGGCGCTATACCAGATGCCAGGATTAGTATTATTATTAAGTATTTTTGTGGGACAAGAGGATTCTTTTCTATCATTTTATGCCCTCAAAACAACTTGTAATCAAATCAAAAGAATAAAACAGACCCGTAGGTGTTTTAAAACATGAAAAGCATTACATCAGCATTGTTACCACAGGGAGAAGGGAATAGAGGAGTATATGGAGGAGTGGATGGGTGGGAGGGGAGGCTGATGTATAGATGGACAAGTTGGTCTGAATGAATGGCTTGCTCTGGAGCTGTAGGTTCCCTGGTTATTGCGGGAAAAAAACTAGCTGGCTATGAAGGGGTTAATGATTCTTACACTCGCTCTGAACTGCAGCGGACCATTTAGCGCCCTAAACATCCACTCTAAGTATAATTAGTGGGCTCAGCTCCTGCCACTCTGCTTTAAACACTCATGGTCTACTGAGAGTAAATGGCCAGTGAGCAATTTATCCATGGCTGGCTGGATAATCCCATGATTTGTAGGTCCTAAAATGTTCTTGAAGTTAAAGGTCAGAAGGCATCCCAACCCCCAGCCATAACCACAATCCCCCCCTAACCTTCCCTTCCTCCTTACTCTGAACTGTTCCAGTTCTGCAGTAGTCTTTAAACATGCGACTGACCGACCGACAGTCCTCTCGGGTTGTGTTCCTGCTCTGAGCTTCAAAGCGAAAGCCAAACTCATGTTAAATCTGTTCGACACAGAAATGCAGTTGCAAAAGCTCGTTACAAATGTGAGCAAAGGCTTTGCGGAGTCGTGCCTGAAGAAGCTGACATGCCTTTGTGAAGAACACTGACCAGGAGTCTGTGTGTTTGTGGGGGGGGGTGGGGGGAGAGGGAAGGCTTAAAGCTGGAGCTTCCCCACACAACAGCAGCAACAATTTGCATTTATGGACTGCCCTTCACGTAGGATAGCGCTGGTACAAACAATCAACAACAACAACTTGCGTTTCTATAGCACCCTTCAAGCGGGCAGAGTCTCGGAGCACTTAACAGTGGCGGAGCCTGACACCGAGCTGGGGGGAGGGGGAGAGGGAGGAGATGACTGTAAGCACGGTCGAAGAGGAAGGTCTTGAGTCAAGATCTAAAAGAGGGGAAGAGATTAATTTAAGGCAGGACAATCAGGTCTTGAGCTAGTGATTCGGAGGAGTCCTGATTTAAGGTCTCTTGCTCACAGACTGTCTGTGACCAAGAGACCTTAAATCAGGCTTAACTCTGCCGTAGCGAGGACCGAATGCGCAAAGCTATCGTTGACATTTAGCGGGCTGGAGATAGTGAAATGTTAGCAGGTTTGCCTGACCTCGTGCCAGCTTCAGACTGTCTGAGCACGTTGTATTGCCTTGGCGACCAATTTCAAACTGATCAAATATCAAATCATTCGCTGCCTACCTCAAAGGCATCGTAAATCAAACCCTCTCATTCCCTTTTAAGCTCGGAGAGTCGTTAAGAGGCTGCCGAATATCAAAAGTTTTGTAGGAAGCAGATGGCGGGCGAATTCAGCAAACGACCAGCTATTACACGCCATCGTTTCTGTAGCCGATAATGACGCACCCCGTTGACAGAAGCAGTTCTTTTTGGACGTATTTCCAAAAACTGAGGTGAAAGATGTTTTGTTCAGATCCAGTTTGGGTATATTGAAAATACTGGGCAAAGTTCTACTGCCAAATGGACATACGCTGTCTGTTTCCGCCTTAACAGCCACAATAACTGTCAGGCTCCACACACCAATCGTACTACAATAAAGCGCGCAATGGGGGTTCCACCACAGGATCAAGGAATCCACCGTTTTTCTCAAATGAACAGTGAAATCCAGTTGACCTGCTCCCTGAATGATTGTACCTCAATGCTGGGGTCTGTACGAATAATAATAATAATCCTTGCATTTTATACAGTGCCTTATCACGTCTTCAAGATGACTCAAAACGCTTCACAGGATACTCTGTCAAGTGAATTGACGGCATATTTTGTGGGCAAATTGCGCACAGTGCCAAGAGTATTGTGTTAGCTTGTTCTGTGAGCAGCGATTTCTTGAGTTTGCAGTCTTGTAGCAGGCAAACAGGGAGCACAATTCAAGCTTATCTTGAATAAATATCCTGTTGAAATATATTAGCACTCCAGAGGATTACCATTAATCTGGGGCCATGTGGAGGCCTCTTAACCTGTCTGATAAAAGGGCTGTGTGGAGGTCTAAACTCAGACTATAGCTATAGCTGCTTTCTCTCTTTCTCTCCCTCCCTTTCTCTCTCTCTCTCTCCCTTCCCTCATCATACAAGAACCCTGCAGACAGACTTTATCAGTGTTTTCTGGCATTTCCTGCCATTTTTCTCTGCTGTTATGCAGTGGGATATTCTCTAGACAATTGCAGCTTTCACAAAGTAAAGGTTTAATTAAAGTAATCACTCGGGCGGTTACAAAATCAATGGACCTTCTCCTTTCCAACGTTCTGTGGCAGAGCAGGGTTGAAGCATTGCTCGAGAGAGAGAGAGAGAGAGAGTAAGAGAGTCAGATGCATTCTTTTACTTCTATTCGCTAAAGCTGCAATGATTGTTTCCGAAACATTCAGCAACCAGCCGTCAGCGGGGCTGCGAGTTTGACGATTTGGCGAATTCACTCTTTACTCTGAAGTCTGTCATTCCTCAGAAAAAAATTGCATAAGAATTTACTGGGCGAAAGAAGACGAGGTCTGTCCAGTTTGTCTTCCACCATCGCTTGCGCATGTCGTGTCCCAAACAACGTACTGTATCCCCAAATATTATTAGTTGCTAACGGAAATCTATCTCATTTGTTCCTGAAAGAATCGACATTTTTCTGCTTCCACCGTCTCCCCAAATTAGAGCTGTATTTTGAGAATTTGCGAGATTCTGGACCCTCCAATTTGCCACATGAACAAGAGCGAATCTGGGCCAGGGTTTGGGTCTGCGGAAACCCCTTCGCAGACGGTGACTCATTAATGGCACGAAACGGCAAATATTTCCGAGCGTGTCACGTTTGAAGGCCATCATCCCCGCGTTCATCAAATTCCTAATGAGTTTCACGCTGTTCTTCTTTCTCCTCCAGTGGTCCGAGGTCACATCAGGACGGTGAGCCACAATAAGGAACGGCAGGAGTCCGTGGTGGGCGTGAGCACCACCAAGATATACAGACAGAAGTACACCCTCTTTCACCCCGTAGGGAAGTACGGGAAGTCGTTCGGGGACATCAGGACATTCTTGAAGTGCGGGGTCAAGCAAGGGGCCGGGAGCTTCATTTTTACCGGCCACGTGCACTTTGGAGAAGCCTGGCTTGGTTGTGCTCCCCGCTACAAAGACTTTAAAAGGATTTACGAAGCTGCCAAAGACGCACACGAGAATCCGTGCGAGATCGAATCGGATTGAAGCTGCTTTCTTTGGGTGGGGAGGTTGGTGGGAGGTTTTGGGGGGGGAGTGGGGGGAATAAAAGAGTTCACCGCTGCATTTTATTTTAATAGGCAGGAAAGGACCGTTGAACTGTTAAAACATATGCCGCTACCCCGCCGAGGTACATTGTCAATGGCTTCTGCGGCGGAGCCGGTGAAGAAGAGAAAGGGGGACTTTCATGGATTGATTCAATGTCCTGTTAAAAGAACAAGCCCGATTGTTGCTGATAAGCTTTGCTGTGTGTGCAGGGGGCGGAGAGGGAAAACCACAGCATTGATTTACCGTCCAACGTGAACGATCGCTGTTTTTCCGACTTTCAGGCAACTTCATACGTGAAGCAACCCGGAGAAAAGGATTGGGCAGAACATGGGGTGAGGGGAGGAGGTTGGGAATGATTTATTGTTCGATGTGAATAATTACTAGCGTGCACTCAACTTCACTTTGTGAAGGACTCTTGGTATATTTTCCGTATGCAAAATATTTTATGTGTGTAAAAAAGAAAATGGTGGGATAGTGTCTTGTGAGATATAATTTACGTGGAAGTTGAATTGCGCATCCACAGAGCGAAAAAAAAATTAGTTTGAAAAGAAAAGAAAGTGATCATGGGATGAACTCAGCGGCCTCTTAGGACATTCCATGGGTAACTTAAGGGGTACAGGCTGCGTCAGATACTTAGGTGAAATGTTACTGCACGTCTTTCTGTGACAACTCTTCAGTTCGTACCACTGAGGCGTGTTTCGAGACCAGTTCAGTTCCCTCGTTTTTGTAAGAAACCGTTTACTTTGTATATTTTTGTGCTATTTATAATTTTATTTGGTTGCAGCTTTCTCGAAGAAGGAGCCCGTACCCGTACAGTCTATCTAAGGTTTTTTTTTAAAAAAAGTCAGTGCTGGCAATTGATAAAATGCGTTTGCTCAAATACAGGTGGAGAGGGGACAGGTGGGGGTGGGGGGCGTGGGGGTGGATTCAGCCAGAAATGTTAACCCTTTCATCGCATCCCATACTTGGATGTCCTGGCTCGCACCTCTGGTTTCCGCCCCTTTCTCCTCCCTAATTCTGTCATCTCTTGTGTCCTCTGCTCCCCTAAACCCATTCTCGCTCCCCCTACCCCTCTCAGCTCTCTGAAAATCTCTCCCTCCGCCTCACTCTCCTTTCCTGACCCGATTTCAAAACCCTTCTTAAAACAGAAAACTACCTCTTTGACTTTGGTCACCTTTCACCTCCCCCCCCCCCCGTCTCTCACCCTGTTCTTTCTCCCTCTCTGTCTCTGTGAAGCGCGCTGTGGCTTCAGCCCTGCAATAAAAGGATCGAGATCAAGCGAGCAAGTTCTTCTTGTTGTAGTGGGACTCTCCAACCCTAAACCTTCAGATTTGATCCTTTTTTGGGAGAACAATTTGATAGATTTCCTGATTTTGTTTTGCATTAATTCAGCTTCGTGAAAAAAGAAAGCAAAAAAAAAAAATCCAGCCCTTAAACCAGCTGCAGGAATCATTTCAAGAAGACGAAACATTGGGAAGTCCCAATACTACTTAGCCCGGGCTAGGAAAACCTGAATATGTGAGGGAGGAGTGTGGTGGTTGGGGGAGAATTAGAGCTTCCTTATTGAAGCTGAGAGGAGTTTTTCAGGAGACGGTTTTCAAGGATTTCAGAAGATGGGGTTTATAATGCGGCTGTGATTGGAAATACCAAAGTATCAAACGTCACTTTGTTTGGAAGGGAAAAAAAACTCTTAAGACAAGAACAAACCGAGAGGTAAACCCAATGTCCACTGAAAAACCATGATGCGAAATAATAAAATGGGCCAATCTCTTTTCTGGGCTTTATTTTTCTTGTACTTCTCTGCAGGTAGAAAGATGCTGCCAAGAGCTGCCATGTGTATTGTATTTGTTATCATGTCATTGGCTTTAGCTCCGTCTGTGCGTTCACACCGCGATTCTGACTGTACATAGTGTAAATATTTGTGCTAAAAAAAATCCTAAACTGAATAGATGGAAAATATTTGAGATCTTCTGAATCTCCGTGTATAAATGTTGGCTGTAGTTTTCTTTTCTTGAGGAAATGTATTTGTGTTGTTTTTTTTAAAATAATGTTCTTTTTGCATTTCAGAAGTTTATTAAAATCCCCAAAACAGACAACGGTTTTGAAATAAGTTGTCTGCTGAATGTGTAGAGACAAAAGAGTGGCTTTGGGATACAGGGAGATATTTGGTTTGCGGGGGGGGGGGGAGGACAGGTAAATGGGACTGAAAAGATTGCTCTTAAAAGAGGTAAAATCTGCTTTCGCAGCCCATCAAACTTATGAAAAGACCTATTTAATGAGTAAATGGTCATATCAGCTACTGCACCCAAACATTATTTATGATTATTTACTATTTTTATTATAATTATATTATTTCCCTCGGGCTGATATCAATGCTGCGTCAAAATGTGCAGATATGACTTGAACTGACCCAGGATTTATCCATTAGTGGATAAATACACTATTGCTGTAACAGAAACAATCAATCCTCAGAGTGTCGAGTGTTTGGGGTCGTAAATGCTTTCATAAGTACAAAGGCCTTACAGAGAACAACAGCAGAAGAAAAGGAAAATGACTTATCGTAGAAAGGCTCCATACATTTACTTGGCAACCTGCACTGGACAAGAATACGAAGCCCTGAAGAATGCTCCAATGCATATTGACCTTACATTTGTCATTTACGCATCCTTTGAAGTAGTATACTGTGGAGTCCTGTGGCTCAGTGGTTAAAGCACTCGCCTCGCAAGCGAGAGGTCTTGGGTTTGATTCCCGGGCAGGGCAAAGCTTTTGGCAAGTTTCCTTACTCCACACACACGCATCTGTTTACCTAGCAGTAAGTAGGAACTCAGCTGTTAGTCGGTTGGTGGATCGCTTTTCCGGGGACAGTAATAATCCCTTCAAAACAAAAATGATTTTAAAAATATGTATATTTGGTCACTCAATCCACGCCTATTTGTGGGATGCTGCTGTGCGCAATTTGCTGCCGTGTTTCGCTCACAAAATATACAGTCAATTCACTTGACAGTATATTCCGTGAAGGGCTTTGAGACGTTTCGAAGATATGATAAGGGGCTGATTCAAATGCAAGGATTATTGATACTTTACTCCATTCCTTCTACCTGTAATGCAAACACGAATTGCACTTTTGTGCTTGGGTTTGGAATTTGAATGTGTGCTTTGCAGCCACACACACACGAAAAATTAAGAACGACTCCGCAATGCAAAACTTAATACTCTGGCTTGCATTACACGCTAATTAATTTTAATCTCTGCCAAGAAGGATTATCAATTAATGCCTCTCCTGGGGCCTGTGGGAATGATGCATTAAATGGCGTTTGCAATATCAGCATGAAATCTTATTATATCCACATGTGCACAGTAAATCTGTAACATGCTGAAAGCATTAAATATTATATATAGAAACAAAAGAGGAACAGCAATTACAAATATGTTACGCAAGAATGGTCTTGCTTTAGTCGGGGGATTAGGCAAGTGTGGTAAAGAGATTTTTTTTTGGAGAGTTTGCTATTTTGGTTTGGCAGAGATTGATGGGAAAGGTGGATCTGCAAAAGAGATATAGCATAATAACGGAATGGTGTTGAGTTACTAGACAGTAATTCTATCGGTGGAATGAGAGCAAAGTATGAGTGATTTACGTACATCACCAAACCCCGGTATTAAATTACCACCTTAATCTCACTGCCAGATGTGTGTTACTAATTATAATAGATATTAACCTGAACTCCACTGATCACTCAGTTAGTAAAATTACTGGCTTCTAGGAAACTGAGCCATGCAGGTTTGGCCATCACTCTGATGTGTTAGTTATAGCTGAGCTTTGCTTCAATTGGCCTCAGTAGCCCCTGAGCTAGTGAAGGTCAGGCTCAGACAGACAGGACTCTTGGCTCTGGGTCAGAAGGTTGTGTGGTCAAGCCACGAATTGGGAGTTTGAACTCCTCGTCGAGGCTAACATTCTGGTGCAGTGGTGGGGATTGCTGCATTGTCAGAGGTGCTGTCCTTCAGCTGAGACATTAAGGCTCAGATCCCAGCTGCTTGTTAAGATGCACAATAAAGATCCTGTGGCACTATTCGAAGAGAGAACGGAGTTTCTCCCGGATGTCTTGGTTGACAAACCTCCAGTTAAGCTAAACTGATCATTTACTTTAATGCCTGTTCGTTGGACAACATTCCTACAATTGCAAATTGGCTGCGGTGTTTGTCTCGAGACACATAGTCACTGCACTTTACAATAATTACTGAGAAATGTTCTGGAGACGCTTTGATCTGATGAGACATCATATCCAATGCCAGAATTATTATTAGTATCTCACACTCTTAAAAATAGCCAATGACTCCACAATGCTGCTTTGAAATCTGGGCATATTTAAGGCAGTTTTGGCATTCAGTGAGAATTCTTCCTGAACATGCCCTTCATCTGTCACGCATTCATCGCACAGCGGGTGTAAAGAAAAACAAAGTTTGGAACCTGACATATGCAATAAGACATTTGCTCCCAGCGTGACTGTCCACTACAAATTAAACATATTGCTCATTTGATGTAGAGATGAGCAAAAGGTTTGAATTGGACATGCACCTGCTCTCTATCCATCTCGGCGCAAACACGGGAATAGTCTTATTTTAGCCCCCATTATTTCACGGCATTTTTAATACATTATTCACTTCTGTCGGCGAGTTGCATTCATGTATGTGACATTCAAACTGGTGGGAAACTAAGCATGTCGAATCCATACTCACTGTTAAGCAGGGAAGTCTATGTGATTCCCCCTCCTTGAAAGTATCCCGATTACAAAGTGAATAGAGCAACCTCTTCATATTCATATCCCATTGTCACAGGAATGAAACGCATCCCCCAGAAATCACAGCAAGTTGCTCACACTGTATTAATGCTCAGCAATGCTCATGCCAAAGCATGTCACCATCAAGCATGTTACCTTCAAGCGCTTTGGGGCGCTATATAAACACAAGTAGTTGTTGTTGTTGTTGTTACCAACACTAAAATGAGATCCCCTTTAGTGATACTGAGACGGTGAATTCATGGTGATCCATACAATACCTTCTTCGCTTGCAAAATACACAGTCACTGCGCTTTACGGTAAATCCTGAGAAGCACTTTAAGTCCTCCGGAAGTGAAAGAGACTGTGCCAAATGCAAGTATTATTACTTATCATTCATTAATAATAATACTTATTAATAATGCTAATACTGTATACTTTTTTATGTTTCGCTCTATTCGCTGTCGAAATTCACGCATGGTCTTTTTGGTGGGGGGGTGGGGAGGGGTGGGGGAGTTAAACTGGCTGCATAAAAAATGCTTCTACTCCGAAGGGTTCTGACATAAAGGGTCGTGGACCCGAAACGTTGACTCACTTTCCATTCTCCAAAGACACTGCCTGACCTGCTGAGCGTTCCCAGCGACTTCTGTTCTTGTTTCAGATTTCCAGCATCTGCAGTATTTTCCGGTTTGCTTCTACTCCATTTGGCACCTTGCCCCTTTTCTCCTCCCCCCTCTCCTCCTCCCCTCCGCCGCCAGCCCCCTCCCCAGCCCCCACCCCACACCCTTTCCCCCACTCGAGGAACTCGAGGAAGATCATTGAAACGCAGAAGAACAAATCTGTAGATTATTATTGCAGAGATCGCCGTATGGATTTGATGGAAAGTCGCACTGGGCATGGATGAGGCACCAATTCTAACCCTTGATCCATTGAAAATATGCCGCACTCTGTGAAATCGCTGCTGATGCAGCACTAATGTCCGTATCTGGCACAGAATAAATCGTGGATTTGTAAGTGCTCCTCTTTGTGGAGGGAGATCATGAGACCCTTGAAACTGCTGGGTGGAGACATTCATCTGTGAAACTCGGATCCTCTCGGAAAACAGTGCGCTAGATTAGTCTCT